TCTATCTATATATATATATCTATCTATATATATATATCTATCTATATATATATATATATATATATAAAGTGCCCTTGCACCGACAGCGCATATAAGAAGAGTATCGGTGGCTAAATAAACCAAGGGATGACATTTAAACTAGTATACAGTTGTCTTTTTCTGACGGCAATCACCGTTACATCTCAAAATTCTATCATGTGACATGGTGGCTTGCCATGAATAACAGTTTCCGTTAAGAAACCTCTTGGACCCTGAGAATTTTTGCAAATTTACCACCAACGCGACGTCTGACCAGCTGGATTATAGAACTCATGAAATAATTCGTCAAAACCGCTGTAGGCGTGCAGTGCTCAAACCATGTTTCTTCCTTAGTCCTCGACGAACTAATCGTGCAGTTGCTTTGCCTATTTGTTTTGCTGCTTTACGATACCTAAAACGACGTCTAAGGGTCCTTATGAATCGCTCGATATTCCGATTCTGTAATTTCTCTTTACGATCGTTTTCCTCGAGTCCGCTTCTTTCCCGTCAGGTTTTCTCGTAGTTCCACTACTAGGTCATGTATATTCACAACACATCAAGATCACTGAAATCCACTTTAAATAAAATAATCAATAATCACAACGACGACGTTATTGTTACAACGCTACGTGGTATTGTACCTCTTGCTTTCCGCTTCAGAATGAGCTACAGCTCTCCATAAAATGAAAAAGAAGTAGGATAACTAATTACATGTGCCTACGTGCACAAGCCTAGTTTTAGACATGCCTCCACAGCTCAAATGGCTGTCGTCGCACAGTAGTCGCATAGTAGTAGTATAAATGCCAGTATAATCACATGTACCGTTACAAAACGGCACGCAGGTACATATACGTGTTTTATGGATCACACTTACACTTGTAGGCAGAAAATGCTTTGATCGGCTAATTTCGATGATTCTTAGAAAGCCATAGAACCACTGAGCTTTGAATGTGAACGGCGAGTTAAACGAACGGCAAAAAGTTTAACTATCAGTGAATTTTTTATGCTACTTCTACGTACGGTACGTTCTGGGCATCGTCTGTTTACAGTGAACATCACAACATAGGGAAATTGGCATCCTTCCGGACTAGCATTTGCTTAGAAATGACGAGAAACGCTTTCTGTAGAACCCTTTTCCTAAACGTTCTGTCCATGCCAATCTATTTTCGTTTTACTTTGCCAGCGATTTTATACACTTAATATTCACTACTAAGTGAATTGCTGGAGATTTCGATACTTTTGTTCCACTCAAGATTCGTATACCCCGCAATATTGCATATTGGAAATATACCACTATATAAATCTTAAACACGAGCTTTGCCTACAGTATTTCCAAGGAAAACGTACACAGGCAAAATGGGGAACACGATGTTGCAGTTCCACTTATTGTAAGAATGTATGAGTGCTACGCATGTACGTACCTGATTTGGTGGATCTTCTTCCTCCACCGCCTAACTCGTATAACTTGTCTGCATGTTTTGTCGAGGTCCTCTTTAACCAGTGGAAAGAGAAACTCGACTGCGTCAAACGCTGGTAGATACTTCAGTAAACCTAAGGCTAGGCCTGCGCGTCAACCACCACTCAGGAAGACATTCCGGTTTTCCTGCTAATTCCATGATTAATATACATTCATTAGTCAAACCCTAAAACCACAGACCTCGCGCAATGGGATAGACTGGCTCTAAACAATCTAAAAGCTGCTGTTGCTGCGACTATAAATTGCATCAGTCCGCCAGCGACTAGATCTACTGCGTAGCAATGCCGTGATATCCTTTAGATGAAAGGTTTTTTATGTATGAATGTGTATTTCCTAAATAGCCAGAGATGCAGAGATTATGAAGATGTGCATGTGCTATGTAAATTACGTTTTCTTTTTGTTTGTCGAGCTAGAGGAATCGCTATTAACTGCAAGTTCAAATTTACAAACCGATCGTGTAAACAGTTTTCTGTTATACCACGTTTAGTTTATTAAAAACAAACCTCAATATGATAAGTGCTCACCGTCACAAAAAATAACTATCACCGATGATAAGGTGTCTCAAGTCACTTCTAATTCGATATTGTGTATTCCAAAACTACCTGCAATAGGCACTGCTAGAAACGACAATATGACAACAACTACGGGGTTGTAGGAAAATAAACACTATTTGGGGGAAGTACATATCCTGAGCAGTATATAACCTTCCTTAAAAAAGCAGTGAATAATTTGACGCTTCCTGGTACTATCGTGTGAACGAATCCTCACGAACGCCTTTCCAGGACAGCACCAAGAACCAAGGTGGGTCTTGCTAGACCTTGCTTTGTGTATAGTACCTATGAGGTGGCAAGGCTAACCATATACAGTGATACGCGATTATCAACGCTCGCTAACTATTTAAACCAGTTAGCCGTATGTTATGATTTCCAGAATAATACACTCAAGGAAATCCTGAGTAACTTCCTACACCAGATCTCGCTCGAAAACTTATCCATTGTTGAACAATACATTGTTAGTAAACCTTTATTTGTGAATATTTTCAGCTAATAGGCTTTATGTATATTTAGTTTTACATGTACATCCTTGATTTTAAATCTATTCGAATTATTGCAATTAGAGATTCCCTTATTTCTCATTCGTTAATTCTCTTGTGGACGTTTGATTTGAATTTGCGCGGAATAAGAACTCCAATATGTCCAGCTAATAAAGTTTCAGGATGATAGCATATACAGCTCTTGCACTCTGTACGACAATTATTTTAACAAATGATCTAGCGCATAGATTCGAATTGGCCGACTTAGGCTTGAGATACACCACTACCGTACGTATCTGCGGTATTTTCCCTCCCCTCTTTTTTAGGTGCATCGATTTCATCGTGAAACTATCTAAACGCTATCAGTATCAATAACCCCATTTAGATCGCGATTCTTCACGTAAACGCTCACGAAGATTATGTATCCGGCAAATATATCTGAATTTCGCGCACAAACGAACGATTAAGGGTAAGACTTCCTCATCGTATTGTGCTTTCGTTAATCATTAAATTGCTCCTGTATATTAACCTATCGGATAGCACACACCAATATCGTAACAACCATACTCCGCACCTCACCGTCAATATAACGCACCGTAAATTAATAATACGAATCAAAAACGCCAGCCCCAAAGAACTTTACGTACGAACAAGGTACTATTTTTACCGTACAGATAATCTCCGGGATGATCAGGAACCCATTACGAAATTCAGTAACTCCGAGCCACGGATTCCCGCAAAGGGAACCGCGAAACTCCTTAATCGTACCCACACCTCAATGTCTTCAATAGCCTAACATATTGAATATTTTTGTTAACATGCAGACGGTTATCGTGAAGACTAAGGATCATGACGATACATAATCTCCACGACAATTTCTAAGTAGTCATAAACAAATCACGCCACGTTTCTTTGAGCCAGTTATACTAGGCATCTCCTAAGGAATGACACAGTCTATTTCAGCAAAAACGTAGTACCGTAGTTCAACCTGCAACACCGAACCCCAAAGCCAGTTTTGCAGCGATGCCACACTGCATTATGATATGATGAGTAGCTTCGTGGAAGACGAAAAATTTCATGAACGAAACAAGAAGGCTGGGGAATTGTCTCTCAGTTTATTTAAAGATAACTAGATTCGAAATAAACCCACGGTGTAGCAGTATTGACCCCCATTAAATATCAGTGCTTGGTAAAAATGTGACTTACCAATGGACACACAGCCCTACTGGCACAATTATTTGCAATTTAATACATTGGCTACCGGTAGGGCTAGCAGTGCAGACAACCCGCCTCCGCTTGGAACGGAGCAGTTCGACAAAGTCTTTAAAAATCCGCGCCCGATAAATTTATACTAAAATGGAGGAAAAAAGCAGAGATTCCGGCCCCCGTTAAAGGTTTTATAATCCGTACGAGTAATGCATTAGATTTCTTTCGGTTTTATCATACACCAGCTAGAAACATATATGACACTCTAACGCTTCCATAAAAAAATGTTTGGGTTAATAATATTCATATAATTTCCAATATGAGTCGAATTAACGCATTACATATGATTAACAGCTGTGAATGTCAAAATACACCCGACGTAACTGCTAATATTCTCCCACATAAATCCATAGCCCTAGTTAGGAACCAAATCGGACGAGTTTTGGTGCGGTACGGCTTTAGGCTACTCTGGAGTTGAATTGCTATTAGAGATGATTGTGCTATAAGCGAACGATATTTAAGGTATCTGACATTCCTGCTCGGGTCTGCCAGTAAAGGGGATCTGGGTCATTTACGCCCATGTCTGAGTGTGTTGCAATGGTAACTATGAATATGTGGCCATAGCTGGCTTAAATTTTAGCTTTGGCCAACGGTTACCATGGAACACGGTTGCGGAGCCGTTCTATTGGTTTAATGGGAAAACCAGTGTATAATAAGTTTTTCAGTATAATAAGATCCATCCCAGCCACAGCTACTCGAAACAAATCGTTGATGTTATAACGAGCAGATGATTATGAGAACTTGTTTACATAGTGCAACGGCAGGAGGCTCCGCCCAGTTCCTATAGAAAGTTCGTGATTTTTATGTTATCCTGTACTGCTTAATGAAGCAGAACGTCCTGAAGATTTCTACAGAGGACACACCCTTTGTTCATAATTTGAGCTCGTCTCTTTGGAGAAACTGATCAATCTAACAGAAAACAACGAATATTATCGACATCAATGATATCATGAACCGTATGGCACTCCAAATACGCAACGACTCAGCAATAGAGGTGTAGGGGTGCCACTTGATTGTATTTTGACAAGGATATATAGTTTCGCCTACCATCTTGCCAAATGATATCTTTACAGGTTAGGTAAGATGGAATTCAACAAAATTACAAGCGAAGCTTTAAAAGGTAGACCATAAAATAAATACTGACTGTACGTGATTTTTGTGGATCGTGGAATATCGGGGTGCTAGAGGAGTTGATTTTAAACGCTCTCTTGTGCATATGTACATATATATGTCTATATATCTGGCAAAATTAGCACAGATGGATGGTTCAATTTAGAGTGCTTTTATACCCGAAACTGTATATACGTTTTCTGAAACCTGATAAAGATGTCCTTCCAAAAGAAGCTTGAAACACGAACCCTAAACAGTATCACAGATCGGAGTATTTCTAATTTTCTATTAGAGACTTTGCTTTTATAGGAAAAATTAAAACCTGAAATGGATAGCTGAACAGTCTATCCATGTTAGCCCCACACGTCAATATTGGTAGACACGAAAGCAAGGTTTAAGTAGATTGTTCCTTGTGCGGGATGAAAAGTTCCCCTATCGTTTTGAAACGAAAAATTCCATGCACCTAATACTTTTACAGATAGGCCACAAACAGGGCTTGGCGGATCTGTTGCTTAACAAGCTGCATCAGACTCTCCTTTTACTCCTTGGCAATGATAGTAAATGGTTGCTAGATACTATTTTAGAGTTCTACGAACTCTCAACCATTCAGCTAAAAATGAATTAAGGTCATTCATGTTAGTGTCGCTGGAATGTATTTAAATTTATTGTTAAAAACAAATTTTGCTCGAAAATGTAATTGTCCAAATCGCATATGCTGTTGTAACTAAACATTTCCAATACAGAATTTTAAAGCTGGAACAAGTAGCTGTCAAGTCAACATTTTCCCACCTTTCGAACTTGTTTTGATCGTCGTAGGAACATTATCTAATATATCATGTTGACATGTAGCGTTTACCTATATCTACACATATAATTTCAATCTGTTTAGGCTATCGCCTTCGTATGATAGTACCTGTATTTCAATTTGGGCAACCCTATATAATTTAAAGTAGTATTTAAGTTCTTCTAGTTAAGCAAATGCGTTTTGCTGTGGCCAGACATATACAACTGACCCTGGAAATATCAAGCTGGCAACACTTTCTTTGCAAACGTTCTTACATGTCACTGCCACAACACGTAATTCCATTGTTCAACTATAATAAACTTGATTGTAAAAACCAACAAGCGAAGAGTTTATAAAAACGAGAACTTTCCTACATACAATCATTCGACAGTATGTTAGCTTGGCAAACAACAAATTCAATGCATTGGTGCAATAGAGTGGTCAGTTAACATTTGGCCAGATTTGGTCGCTGTCTTAGTATCCGTAATAATATGTTACCCCAATCTAGCATGAACGTCGGGCTAGTCCTAGCGTAACTTAACTTGGCCGGTAATACAGTTTCATTTATTCGATGTTTCACCCTACAGTTAGTCAATGGTTAGGAACTCCTTGCAAGGCGGATTTCGTAATTTCTGGTAGATGTAGAAAATGTTTCATTTGTGCTAAAATCTATAATAATGATTGAACATGGATAGAAGGCGCGATGCGAACGCTGGATGCCACTGCCATTCACTCAAGCGTTGTGTTTAATTTGAATTGCTCGGGACGGGCAAATTGAACGTTTTGGAAATTAAGCATTTTTTTTTTTAAGAACTTCTCGGAAAAAAATGTTTCGAGTCGTTCGGTATTTTCTCGTCAGCGTACTTTTCTATACAGTCAAAGAAAAATTGATACTACCGGACTCTAGAGCGTACAATCCTCTTTAGAACGCAATTCCCCACGTGGGTGCCTACGAAAATCGTGTACCCGCGAGACATTCGAATCCGGTGCATAGGCGAGTACTAATGCATGTATTGCATCACATATTGTGATTCATGAAGACATCACGCTACGTGCCAATCATACTGAGCATTCGACCAGGAAATACAATGATTATTGTAGCAAAAACCAATACCCTCACAGGTAACACTTGTAGTAACGTAGTTAAGCTTCGAACGAAAACCAAGAGCTAGTTTTACCGTAATACCCCATCACGTAATCAGTGAATAAGTAAATTCGTAGAGCTGTGAAGTTTAAATAGAAAATAATTGGGGAGCTATTTTCGAATTTACCTGAAAATAATCAGATTTGAAAAGACCCCACAGAGTAGCAATACTCAGCCGTTTTCGGCGTCAGATATTAGCATTTCGCAACTACGTGACTTAGCAACAGCTCTAACAGATTCGACGCCGGCCACTACACAAACTTTTCGAAAATGCGCGTCCGACAGAATTAGAGTGAAAAGCTAAACCCAGGGTTGGTGCTGGCGCCCATCAAGGGCTTGATAATAATACATAGTTTCATCTTATACTAGCATATTTAATGCTTTAACGCTTTCAGAAGGAAACTTTTGAATTCATATCCTGGAATTAACGTATTATAAATGACTGATAGCAGTATAGAGATAAGTCCGAGAATTTTAGACACAATTGCAAATATTTTCGTGTATACTGGATGTGCATGCCCTTGTCTAATGGTCAAGCCAGACGATGATTATGAGAAATTGAGCCCACAGCAGAGGACTTTCGCCGTGTTGCTGCGCAACTTCGATATTTTTTACGTTTACCGAAGTGCAGCGTTTGTGGCGGATATCTTTCTCCAACACCATGTACGCGGCAGCCGATCTGCATATATATATGAATAAGTTTCTAGATGTCACTTAGTCCTTACTCAATCGTAGTTTTCCCATGTTTTGAAAACATCGCACTATTACATTGTTCGCTTCCACTCTTATAATCCGGAAGTCGTTAGTACTTTTCCATTCGGCAATTTACTATAGTTTTAGAACAAAGGATCCGCATTGGTAGACACAGTCCAAGAAAGGTCATGCTTCCATGGAAAGACAAATGTATATGGTGTGAGATATCGTTAATGAGGATTACGTTTACTTCTATTCCAAAGGGTCTACCAAAGGGTATGTGGCGTATGAAACGCCTTATACCACACTGTATTTTTTTCATTGGAGTATTTTCTTGGTAACAGCACGTGGTAGCCGGCGTATCATTATCATACTGGCAATTTATAATAACCACAACTACATCGGAATTGTATGAATCTTATGAATGGATCATGTCTCACGAGACTGAATAAGTGAACAGTTACTTGTTTAGTCGCCGGCGGAAAATTGCGGTATTACATAAACATGATAGACGAAACTGTTGTGGTTGATCTTATAACTAACCTAAAGTATAATGTCCGTTTTTTTAAAAGCAGGCCCATATCTGGCCTGTTGGCTTCACGCTTGCGCCTACAGGCTCCAAAAGAACAGTATAAGACCTCTGGTTGGCTGGGATCAAATCACTAGACTTCCAACTTCAGCCGTTTCTCAACTAGTGAAGCTAAGCGTGGAGGTAGGCAGTAATGAAAGTGTAAAGCTTATGATTTGACCAAAAAACAAACGTTGAACAGAAGTTTTCAAAGAAGCCACATTTTGTAATAAAATTTCTCTTTTTCTGCTTGCGCATGCGTAGCAGAATAGTCATTATCTCACGTTGTGAGACTTTAAGTACTCGACTATATGTAATACCTCGGTGACCCATAACAATTGCCCTTCTGGAGACATTTGAATACCTAAGCATCCACGCGCACTGCGTAAACTGCTTTTTTTTCCACCATGAGCAGAAAATAGCTACGATATTAAAAACAATTTAATAAATAAACCTATCAGTTAGAAGTGCTCCATTCTGACAAAGCGTTTGCCTGCTTGGCTAATGTTATTATACAGTGTTAATCAGTTGCCACCCGATATGATATCTTGATATGACGCGCTTTTATCCCATTTTTCCCAGCAGGGCCGTGTTTTCTTGCAGCATAGTTTTTTTTTTTTTATTTATTGCATGTTTGGCCGATACAGGCGCGTAAATGGCTCTCTCTACTGAAATAATAAAATAACAACGAGTAGTCCAACGCCAGAAAGAAGGATGCATCGTTCTAGCACGGACAATGTCCGTTTGAGGGTGTTGATAAGCTTCGAAGGCCTGAAAGACGATCTCAACAGTGAACTGCAAACGGTGACGAGAGACAGAAAAACGCTCGCGGACGATTGCCACACTGAAAAGGAAAGAACGCAACTTAGCTACGCAACAACCATAATAGGATTTTCGCACGTCTTACGACTAATCAATACAAGTTCTATTAGCAGTCTCTACAAACACTGTATATACAAAAGAGTAAAGTGGGAACGGACAAGCTCGCTACGGAATTGTCATGCCGTACCGTATTAGCATTGATATAAAGCGGCGGGATACCGGTCGTAACAACTACAACAGTCTTCTAGGAACAACTGATATTGAGACAAAAGAAAGAAACAGTTTGGAACTCCTCTATGACAGGATTGCACGTTTTTTCGAACTAGCAAAAAATAGTACGCTTTCCTCAGAGGTCCTGTCCGGCACATGAAAGCTGGCGCAAGGACTTCTTATTGCGACAAATATATTCGTTGAAAAATTCTTCATTGGACTTAGAGCACCTCGATGGCACATGGTCGCCGCTCTAATGGTTTATTTTACAAGCTTCACTATCCACTTCAATAACGCATTGTAAACCTATTTTCAGACAGCAGTGTTCGCTGAAATGTCAGTAAGCATTTGTGTATATTGACGCTACATCACAAGGAAAAACTATATTTCTATACTACTAATTTATATATATATATATACGAGGACAGCTGAATACCCGAAGTGAATCAAGACCGTGTACGCCAAATAATATAAGTAAAGGTGCTTTGACACAACTATTAGATGCTATTCTACTTTGTTAAATCGAATTCGAGAGTAGTTTAATAATATTTAGAAACTTAGAGATCTTTATATCATTTTCTATATGATTTTTTTTTTGCTAAAGCTAAAATAAACGGCAATTTAGTATTAAGGCAGGTTGCAATTTTACTACCATTGTTAGTGCCAAAAAAAGTCGTTATTGGTTATTTCATATTTCTATAAAATAGATTCTAGAAGAAAAATTTATTACTATTTATTACTACCACTATTATAATCGGCAGCGATTTTTGTTTATAGTGTTTGAAGTGTCAATGATTAACTGGGGTATCGCAATGAGTCTCGATGTTCTAAAACCGCCGATGTAAGCGTACGGTAGAGAACACCTTTCGATAAAGCTCTATTTAAACAAATTTAGCTGTTGTCACTTTATTCTTACACAAGGTCAAACATGGCAAAGAAACAGTGACAAAAAATCCATGGATAAGCGGTAACGGTGAAACGAAAGGGATTGGTGTTCCAATTTGTAAGTATTTATTAAATAAACTCTTCAGATAAGATTGTTCAGCTGTTACTCTGCTACTGATAATACGCCTCTCGATTTTTATAAACATGGTCTGAATTATCTAGCTCTGCTTGCTACGTCAGAATTAGGCATTTCGATTTCACACGTAGTACAAGCCGGTACGTTATTGACCACAACATCTAACAGAATCCATCTTGAAATGATAATGTCAATTGGATGAATATATCTTCCTTCTCTCGGTTGTTTTGTTGCCGAGCGATATAATATAAATCGAGCTCGCTGCTGTTTCTTCTTTTCGTGCTATATACGTTAGCAAAAGGCATGAAGAGCTACGTAGAATGCCAAGAATAATGTAGGCCGTTCCTCATTATGCTAAGCCTACAACTTACATATTCGAGGTGTTTCGGTAGAACTTCGAGTCATCGTGGCAAGAAAGCCGTGTTGTAAACAAGTGGTCAGAAGCAGCATGTAGGTAAGCGATATTCGACAACTTTCAGGAGCTAGAATTGTAAGAGCCAACAGGAGATGGCTGGTACGCATTGCCAGATACACGCGAAATCTGCAAATCATTGATACGTAAGGACATGTCGAAGTGGTAACAATGGCTGAATTTGGGTTGAGGCTCGTGTAAGTAAATGAATGGCGGAGAACAATTTGTTAGAGCTCTAGGGAAGTAGGCAATTTTAATATCTGCCTACCCATACAGATGCGGTTGCCTTCTGATTTGTAGATCTACCACGACCGTTGATATGTTGCCGGTTGATGGTTGAGGCACGTTCAGAGCACGAGCCGATGGTAGAAGTTTCCATTCAGACGAGCTGATTTCCGACTCCGTAATCCAAGGCTCGAAAATGATATCCTAGATATGCGCATAATATTACAACAAATGTATATATTTGCAAAAGGTTCACTTTCAGCTCGATCTTGTTTTGATAAAAGAGCGATGCTTGAAAAGCAAGAGAAAAAAGAATACTATGTATCAGAGGATCCTTTCCACTCCAGCTGCAGCTCAGATTATTAGGTTTGTCATGTCATTATACTAACGAGCGCGTGGTCTAAAGTTATCAAAATAGAAACTATAATGACCTAACTTCTGTTCAGAGGACCGCCTCTCTTCTGTTCAGTTTCATTGAAATAGGAACCATTGTGTTTACGACTATTTCTATCGATGTCAATCAAAAAAAGATTACGAACATCTTTCTCGATGTATTTCAGAGTAATTAATTCTCAGATGAACTTCTGTTCTACGTCGTGAATTAGAGCAGCTAGTGATAAGTTCAGCTAACTTACGTGACTGCCGTAGTTTATGCTGGAAAACGAAAGACTACAGTTGTGAACGTCGTTGGGAAAGGCGCTTAGGTCAAATGAACATGGGGCTATTATATCGTACACCTGGCACCTCATTACAATACCATCGCTGTCTACATGAACAGGAACATACACTGTGGATTCTGCGTTGATCCTGTACAAACACAGATGTGTGTATGAACAAAAGAAAGGACTTATAGACTAACAGACTTCGTCATTTGAGAAGAAAGACGTCCACAATGAGAGCAAACAATCATTAAGACCATAAATGTGTTAGATCCAGATCCGGTATAGGTATTACCTGAACTCGCGCATTACCTCGCTATGAACGACATTCAGATCAATTAAACTACGTTCTTTTCTGTTTAAAGGTTTTAATGCGATCAGGCATATATAACACTGGCTAACACGTAGTAACAAAAATGAAAGCAACTAGGAGGAAAACGCTCGAAAAAACAATAAAATTAGCAGTCATTTTCAAGAGTGCCGCAAGCTTCACGGCTCGAGCCAACAATTTTTCTTAGTGATTTTAAAGAAAAATGCTTGAATAGCACTCCTTTGCACTACTATGAATTCTTCTCTTGTTGATTTTTTGTATCAAGCAAAACAATGGTCACCAGTGGTCGGGTTACAAAACAGATGTGTGGATTTCCAATCTATATAGTGGAACTATCGGTGAACCCAAGACGCGACACACTTCCAGTCGAATTTACTACAATGTTAAGGCTACTAGAGACAGAAAAGACTACAAAGAGCTATCGAGCACACAAAAATTATCAGTGGCAGGTATTTATTAGATACATACGTGTTACTAAATCGTATTCGGGGGGACCAAACGTAGACCCAAAACGTGTACACGATGCTGGTCGGGGCTGACTCGTGTTCCCACACCAATCGTTTGTCCACCCATTGCTGCCGGTCACACAGAGAGTTTAGACGTTTGTTGTTAGCATCCACACAGCTGCGTGCTAACAAATCTGATTAATATTTTTCCTTTGTTCTTAGAGGGCACCACGCTATGTTGAAAGGAAGTTATACGTCCAATCGTACACTTGTGCCTAACTCGGAGTATTAAAATACCCGCAGCTATTACAATCAAATGGAAGGTGGCTTCGCAGGTACACGCTGATCTATATATCGACCCAGGCTCAAGCCTTGCCTGAATCATCTAATGAAGAAAATTGCCATGGGTTTCTTAAGTTAAATGTCGCTTTCCTGAACCTATTTTTGAGCATACTTAGATTAGACAAGTTGACTTTTATCGACTACTGATTACAGGAGCTGACGCAAGACAGACAGGGCGTCAGCTACGATATGGTCCAAATTGGAAAGTAACATTTTTTGAGCGCAGACAGTTAAAATGATAAGCAAAACGGGAGCAAGTGCTATTTTTTAGTTCACGCTCTCTGCGTCTGTTAAATAATACATGTTGAGTTTAAGTAACAAATAGATAGCCATTCAGTAGCTCTCAAGAGGATGCACTTACCGTACAAAGTACCATCGAAAAGGTGACACTGTGTTCATAGGTATCAATAATGAAGCGATCCAGAATATAGAGATATGCGTGCACTGACAGCGGTCCTTCGGCGTCCCGGTTAGGTGGAGGAGTAAACCTGCCCATATACAACATAGCGGGGAAGCGATAATAACAACGTCAACGGTCAGAGCCGTGATGATAGGCGTTATTAGAATACTCTAATACCACTCGTCCATAGTCGAAAAAGCAGGTCAGAAGGTACATTTCACAATAAAAGTCAGTCACAATGTGGGTAGATGGCAATTAGTTTGACTGCTAGAAACTGATATGCAGGGAAGTGTATGGTAAAGCCGGCAGGGGTGCATCGAAAACTGCAATTGAAACTGACAGAAAACTTTGTTTTAATGTTTAACCGATACAATCATTAATCTCAGCTATAATTAAATCGAAAGAATAATTCGATGTGTGTCAGTGGAAAAACAGAGATCAACCCAATAACCTGCTCTGGATAAACGTTACCTGACATTGGCCGCTTTGAAGTTGAATTCTGCTTGAAACTTTGCAATTTTCGCAGCTACAGTGTAATTCTTATTAATTAAAGGCTCTGCGAAACCTGAAAGCAGATAAAACCGTTCTTCTACGTGTTAAAATTCGGTGCTTCAAAAAGGTTCAAGATCCAATATACATTGATGCTTTGCTAATAGTACTTAAGTGATCGTCTGATCACGTATGGGGCATCTTGGTAAATAACTGGTGATTACATAATACAGTGTAATATAGCACTGATCGCAAGACGCGTACACTTTAAAAATATAATAGCTGAATTGTGTTTCCTTTTAGCTTTATACAGTTTTATTTTAGCATAGTACATATTACATGTGCGCCTTAGATCGAAGTTAGCTGAAATATTGATAATGTAAAGCATACGGTGCTCAGACTGCCTAGTCTATCGTTGGTTTAGGACAAAAATCATTCGGATGCCCACTCCTCTTGTCGGGTCGCCTGTATATGGGAAAAGCGCATTGACGCTTCGATCATGAAAGCATCCTTATTTTATATGATAATATGCTACTAATTAAGAAGGCATGACATAGCCTGTGATCTACTAGAATGAACAAGTAAGTTAATGTTTGCCATCCATATAGCAATACAACTGTATTATAGGGTTATCACATTTGTCAATGTCGTTGCCTTAATGGTTATTTTCTTCAGCAGGCATTAGGCATTACTTCACTTGCAATTATTTTCCTGTATTGAGTTTTGATACTTATTCACAAATGCTGCTCGACTCCAAAGGAACCTAGGGAAATTTCATCTAACATCAGCCAAGCTTAAAAAATCCTCTGATGAACCTTTTAGGACTGCAGTCATTACGAAGTACTTATGGTTAGCACGGGCCTGCAACATTATAGCGTACTACCAACACGGACAGAGTTTTTCAATTTAGTATAATCATGTTTTCTCTGTTCACACTCGTATTGTTTTTCATAAATATATATTGTTATGTAAAAAAAAATATTGAATGCATATAAAAACAGTACTTTTACTACTTCAAACTTACATTGATCCACGAAGACTACTAGGATCAATATGATGATAATTTTTATCACGGCAGCCGACTGCATACTGGAAGACACACTTTTCGTTTTACAGAAATTAGCAATTTTAGCAGAAAAAAAAATAGATCTATCCGGGTTACATTGATTCACAAAACTGCTTTCTTTCGAACGACACACGTTACGGGATACGCGACGGCCGGGTCACTGTATCAGAAGGCGCAGCTGTTATCCAGCACTGAGTATCCATGATGGCTGGCTTCCTATTACATTGCATAGAGTCGAAGAGAAAGAAAAATTACGATATTGCTCCTCAGAGGGGCGTCTCTGCAGAGTGCTGACTATTCGACGATTTTTTAAGTAATACATAGCACGTAAGGTATAAACAAGACCAATTTACGTTCCAAGATTGACTCGAAAGAGTGTTCGAGTTTCGATCAAGCGTACTGCAGCGGATAACTGTCTACGACGTATAACTCATTACAGGTAGTCGGCTGGGACACTCATCGGAGGACTCAAGTTCGATCTAGCTCTGCACGAGAATCGACACTTCTTAATTGCATGTCCCATTCTAAGTGCTGCTGCATCCCAACGCTGAATATGGATGTTGTCGAGCCCGTAACCATTTTCAAATTAACCGTTGTTATTTGCCGACCTGTTCTACTATTGTTAGAGGTCTTTTTTTCGCTTCCTATAGATTATAGCTGCTTTGTTATATCGTTCCAGGGCCTCCAGCTGAGTTCAGTTAAACATACAAAAAGATCGAATCAATGAGAGCTTTCTTCAGATCTATATGGCGTTAAAGGTAGAGTATGTTTATATATCCCTCTTAGGGTAACATGAATCGCGCCAAGGCTGGTGTTACTTCTTTTAGCTGGAAAAGGTTTGTGTGGAGAGTTGTGCATGCTGTGCAGTCGAACAGATCGCGGATGTTTCAGTGTGCTTTCAAAAGTTTACCAACAGGAACAACCATCAAACGAAAGACCGTGCTATATGATCGCTGATGCGCAAAAATAACAAGTTAACTGAAAAACCAGGAGAAAAATAACAAGGGAAAGGCGAACACGTTAGACTTTTCCACGCACGGGGCAAATACATTGATTTGTCTTACCAATGACGTCAACCATGTACGGATGCTTGTTGACTTTTCATAGGGCACCTCAGCGAAGACTATGTCACCCTACAACGAAGGCATCTATCTAAAATATTTCAACATTGTTACAACTTTTCTCAGCTGTGCTTTGTTGAACGAAGCGGCTTTTTCGCCGCAATAGTTACGGTTGACTCCCAATACGTTTACCAAATATAAAGCGTTCTGCAGTACGCTGAAGATTAGGGTGACAACAGAGCTCATTGGTAAATATCAAGAAAATCTACCATCTCGTGAATTGGACCTACAAAGGATTTAACACAGTGATCTTTATTTGACGTTTACAAAGGAGGAGTGTTTTTGCATGGTCGAGATATCTCTGAGATAATTCTCGAACAATAAGACATTCAGTCTTACTAGTTTCGAAAAAAATAGACGTAATCTTTAATGAAACACGCGATCGAAGAAAGGAACCTTATGGGTATTAAGATGCATAGTCACGCATATGAGAAAATCCGCTTTCTAGGATTTGCTGTAACAGTGTTGCAATACGCATTTCGTCATTCAGGACCAATCAGCAAACCCTCTGCAAATGACTCCGATGATGCTCTAATAGTGCATAGGGTCTACTAAAGTCTTTTAAATATCTTCGGATTCAAATGGATACTTTTCCCGTCCATTCACACGGAGATAAACGCTTTGACGAATATTTCTCTGCTCGTAGATGGCCAATGCATGCACTCTACCGTAGTTCCTTTGATGTTTTCTAGAAATTTATTATCTAGCTCCGTTCTCCGATACTAAAGTTAACTTCTATAGTAACCGTTTCGTTTATAATTGGCTATGTTTAGTATGTAAGTGTACTGAAACGTTGTCAAATTTAGATAGAGCACATAATATTGCATTGACTCCCCTCGCACTTTCGATTGCGATACGGGTAGGCGTGTTACTTTGACGCTTTGCAAACTTTATTGAAACTAGAAGGTTAAACTTCGACTCCAGCACACTTAAAAGCTAATTGAATCTTGCTTGGTGTTTTTATACGATAAAGTTACTCGTAAGCCCAGGTCTCCTTCTCTATCTACCCAATAGATTGCAGCTAATTGAGCAGAACCGTACAAAATGTATTTTTCACTACCATCATCTTCACTACAAATCAAGCATTTTTTCTGTTGACATCTTTAGGCTAAGCAAAAAGCGCTTTATATCTATATATAATGTTGAAATACTGCTATTGGTAAATAGCAGCTTTTGTTATAGTTATCGCTCCATCCGTCTTAGATAAATATGCAACGACCTAGACATAATTAATGTGTGTGCAATTGATTGCTTGCCTCCAATAATAACTACTAATTCGAAAAATACACAAATGAGTATTGTCTGTAGCGTCAAAGTTCTATGTTATGAGGTGGATTCCTAAAATTGGCAGTACGAAAGTATCGACGGCAACAAGTTCGGTACATGAAAATTGTACACTAGAGCTACCTGCATGTGCTTGAAGTCTTGCATTTGTCTAAGACTAATCAAATCCACCTCGCGAAGTATAGATAGTGTATATTAAGCGTGCGCTCGGCAAATTTGCTGTCTTTAATTTTCGATGACGAAGTTTCTTAGGCTTCTTGTCCAATCTAGAAGCACACGAAGTTTGACGGGGCTCCTGTTCGGGGTTATAAGGGTGTTTGATCGGTAACTGGGGAAGACCTCCTTAATTAGAGCTATTTTTGCTTAGAAGTATAATAACAAAGACAGTGGAACAGTCACATAATGGGAAATGATATCGGGGTAACGCTTCGATCTATCTCAGTTTCTAACCGAGATGAGATTGAAAGGCTCACAAAAAATAAAAGGCGTCTTTTTAGGTGACATTATAACGTTCAGTATAGTTAAGACTAATTAACAGACGAACCTTATTTCTCACAGGAAGAAAGGTTTCTTCTTGTAAGAAGCCTGTCTATATGTGTTACAATAGGATTGCCACTCGAATAGCAAAAAATCGATAATGAGCAATGTTTTTAGTTACTATGGATGAAAATACCTATACAAAAAATAATTAAATACAGTTTGTGTCTTTATTTATGGGTTCATAATCTCGCTCATTTATCTGAGTGCTCAAAGAAACAAGAGAATTCTAAGCATTTCGTACACCGGCACTAATATCAACCTTGGATTCTTTGTTGCTCTCGTGATAATTAATATTGTTTCAATATCGTGATTTTACTAACTTCTATATGCAATCGACGTTGTTATCGTCTTTACATCAGATGAAACTTTTATGTTGGTTCTCAGCTTTACGGGTATTTGCACTTTCACCGTTGGTGATGCAGGAGCGATCTCAGTCGCTGTTCCCTTAAGCATCCATTGCTACTAAAAATGTTCCCATATCAGAATTTTTCTCAACTGTGGCTTCGAAACGACCCCAATTTCAGCAAAGAGATTCTACTAGTGGAGCAGACCCTTTCTGAAATTGAAGCGGGATCTGGCCGATGAATGGCGAAAATCAATTTAGTCTATAGAGTTTTTTTTCTTTATCTTTTCCTCTCGCCTTTTAATCCACAGATAAACAGGCACAGATTCAAAACTTTTTTTTCTCGCTCCTTCGTCATTTCGGAGCAAGCCGCCGGTAAACTGTGCTCGCCCAGATTTCGCACGGGCCTTTCGTTTGCAATATCGTCGAGGCCAATACCAAGGTACACCGATTTCCTCTACCGGAGTCAGTTTAAGAAACATACCTTAATTTCTAGTTCGGTTCAATCAGCATAGCATCTACTCTGAGGAATAACGCCAAGCAGCAAATAAATAGAAGTAACTTGGTCAAACGTTGTCCTCATAATATCGTTGACCCTTATTACAAACTAACTAAAAACAAGCCTTAGTAGGAGTGTGCCTGATGCTTCTTCCCGTTCTTACTTTAGGCAATTTAGGAGAAGTGACAGTTTATAAGGCTCTAGCGAACTGGTTGCTGTAGACCGTCGCTATTGATGCATCAGATCGGAAGCGATGCCAAAGGCCTTTCTTCTGGTACGATATATTGAAAGGCTAGCGTATGTTTATCTACTTTGCAAAGCCTTGTCACCGACGGGACGTATGATATGCGATGTTCGATGACAGTAACAATTGCTGTGTAAATACAATACTTTGCTTCGTTTAGGAAATGTATTGAAAATATTTTTTCAAAAAAATAGGTGCTAAGGATAATTATCAAACGATCGCCCGACGCTCCGTCGCTTGAATCGGTAGAAGTATTTTATGATGACATCATCGTCGGACTTAAAGTACGAATGAGTGAAAATGTTGCTCCAGACTTTACAACAAACCGACTAACAACTATTCAGTCTGCAGTTATCCTGGATATGGTTCATTACCGGCATACATCTAATATGCACAGTAAAAATGCCCTTTGCTCTGATTTTGATTTTTCAAGGGCATTTGATGAAGTAAACTCTAAATAGCCCGACAAAATGAAGTAAGCATTCTAAGAAAGACCAAGTTTCATTAGAATTGATTCAATCATATCTTCAAAATCGTTGTTGGCGTGTCAGAATAACTAATTGCCTATTCCATACGGGAAAGGCCAAGGGCCTAGCTTTGGGCTTTCCAAGAGAAAGGGACAACACATTAAATGGTGTATTAATCCCGCCTGCTTACTGTTTCCGGAACATAGGTGTGATCACAACAAAAAAGTTGATTTTCTAGAGCACTAGAGCGATTCACGTAGCAACCCAATTGTGTAAAAACGTACTACATTATGTCATCATGAAGAGAGCTGAGCTTTACTTCGAGCTTTTTAACTATTTTTACTATAAAAAAAAGATGTTCTATTCTTCCCATACGCGATGTCCGTAAAGACTATAGCAATAATAGGGTGCAAAATTGATGAGCCAGAGTCCAAGCGCTAGCCTGACCTATAGTATAAAAAAAAACATGGAAAATTTTCCACTACAATAAGTACAGTAGATCCTTTTACAAACTGAATCTTCTATTATCTTTCACGTGTCCCCCAAAACAACACTTTGGCTCAAGCAGGCCATATCAATATTCTTTTATCGCTTGCCGGCCTAGCCGCCACATAAAAACAAAGTATTTTCAACTGCAGACTTGATTTTCATGACAAGCAGGATTTTGTTCCTAGGTGTCGGGACACAACATGCCCTCCATGGAAATAATTTCTGGTATTAACAAAATATTTCGCTGATAAGCTGAGCTGTTTTCTATAGAGTACACAATAAAGTGTACAAATAAGCTTACTTTACATTGAAGACTCATATGGTCAGTCCCCGAATAGAGATGCGATTCGTTTACTTTGGTAGTGTCGCAGTTCCGAGCAATGACAGGTCGTAGATAGCTGTTGCGGACTTATGCCGAATGTAGGGAGCTATTATCAATTACTAGTCTCCAAAAATATGTAAAATAAAAAGGGCCTGACGAATAAGGTAAGAATGATTCGGTGATTTTATCCCCACAGTTGGCCTGCATTGTATTTTTCTATGTTGAAAAGGAAACGATAAGCAGCGTTTTCAGTGTTCGCTTTTTTACGGTAGTGAATAACCGTTGCTGTTTATCAGTTCATATTGGCAATCTAGGTTCATGAGCAGGCGTCGATAAGCGTCTAAGACGCAATAGACGCTAACTGAAAATCACTCCTCCCTTAGCCTGATAAAAATTTTCCTTAACTTAGGCAAATAGAATGACCCATAATTGAGTTATAGAGCCAGTTGCTCATATCCACAGGCATAACAGAATGATGTTTTAAAGATACCCGGTGATACGATTGGAAATATTTACCTTTTTTTGTCTAAGCGTGTTAATGCTAGTAAGAGGTCGTGTACCGTTTAACGCTCACAAGCAGAGATCCGTGCCGAGAGAAAAATGCTAGCGGAGTCGGCGGCTAGTTTTGCTTCGCATCGCCGTAACGGTGAACTGCGTTTAGCGGAAGGATATCTCAGAAGGCGTATTCGCCGTGGAACGCATATTGAGTTTAAGGACTTTTCCTAAAGAGTCTAAGGACTCATCGAAGCACGAAGCAGTCAACTTCAAACCGCAATCGATTGAGAAACACGTTTGCTTTTTTGCATAAAATTTTGGATATAGCTTACACGACGCTCGAAAGCTTTGGCTTTCTTTGAAATCCGGCCCTAAAGAGACAACGTGGTGCGCATTATTTAGAAGGCAGCAGTCGTGATGTAAGGATTGGTACCGTGGTACAGATGTGTCAGCTTAAATGGTGACAATTTATCTTATCAATAATCCTATTTACAGTACGCATCTGCCTTGCAACGAGTGCCGAACAGGGTGAGAATCATGTGTTAGCCGCAAAACTCCAAAATTCAGCCGAGACCCGCTGAAAAACTATATTAACATTATTAACTTGCTTCCAGTGGGATGGTCATGAGCACTTCACTATAATAGTAATTTTCTAACTATTTTTGTAGTTAAAAGTGTACATAGTTATACCTAAAAACGGGCAACGTTATGGTAATATGCCTCGCTAGTCACCATGACGTCCAAATCGTCGGAAAACGTCGCCTGCCCAAAGCCACTATCTAGTCTTCGAATTCTGGTAGTAGAAATTAAAATTAGCTATTTATCGTGGCAGGAATTTTAAAAATGGCTATTGCAAGTGATTTACGATTAGCTACAGGGTACGAGCTTGCATATAGCTGCCCCCTTTAAATTTATTCAACTTCTTGAAGTTCAATAAATTTAAATAGTTGGGGAATGTGCCTCTTTTAAAAACAAATCGGTTCTCCAGCAACAAAACGTTGCAGGCACCTATCGCCATATGAAATATATATAAAATGAATTTTGTGAAGTTGCAGCATACCACCAATAAGATCGAAACATTTACGAAAAGAAAAACTAAAGCTCATAAAATAACAATAATCAAAAACTAAACGTTTCTGTGAAACTGTATATAATATGAAAAAGCTGAAACCGCATGCACATACAACGTACGTGAAGACTTGATTTTCCTCAAACTGCGCATTTGTCCGCACAAGCATCTGTATTTATCTATAATAGCAGTAGACGTAAGCAACGACAGATATTGGATGAATGATACACAGTGTATACGTACCTAGAAGATAAACTATAATAGGCTTACACTAACTAGATAATAATAGGCTGCAAACTAACTAGGTTGACTGCTAGTTGGCGACTGATAGGTGCATATGCCTGCTAAGCTGATTCGGCTATCCCTTAGTTTGTTGTGATGTAGCACGGTCAAGCACACTCTGAAGCCGATCCTTCTCAATTCAAATACAATGTAAGATCAAAGGATATACAACTTTTGACATATATACGCCCCATTCTAACATCTGTATTAATTTGGAATGATGTTTTCGCACTCCCACCGTCTCCCGTTCGCTCAGAACGAGTCCTAAGGAGCAGACTGAATATGTGCTCTATTTTATATATTCCTATAGCTGGAATATATCAACAAGACTATTGTTCGGCCAATTGGCGCTGATCGGCTAGACTTGTTAATAATATTATCATTCTTGGATAAGCCGTTGTCATTGACGCGACTACAATTGATCTCTGCCGTAATTTGCTACTGACGCTTTTTTTTTCTGTATACGAACCCGTAGTGCATTGCTTTCCACCTACCTAGTGTTCGGCCACTGATACCGTTACTATGTCAACAAAGAATGATGATCGTCTGAAAAACAGACCTCTAATGATGATCCTCTCCCAGTATTTGTCTCATTTAACATCCAGGATCTGTGTCAGCGACGATCAGCCCGTCAATATTGATGTGCTTGATAAGCGATCCGAGCAAATTCAAAGAGATGTATGTTTATTTTAGGTAATTAAAGTGATAAAATCAATGGAACATTAAATTAATCCGTTATATTATATCTGGCGCTTTAGGTGGAACCTAACCCAATATTCACAGTCATTATTTATGTGAACTCTTAACCCAGTTTCAGTTAGATTATTGATACTAACCTTGATATGTGCTTTTTATCCCTGTCAGTAAAATACACGTTCAAATCTATTCGAGCTTATCTATAATATATTCTAGTATGGGTATTTTCTTTCTCATACCTCTATGAATTATAACTTTCAGTATATATTTCTATCCAAGTCATGACGATTCTAACCCTGTTGTATCAGTCCACTTGTATTGACTCAAACAGGTGCTGCTCGAAAGATCGGCTCATTTAAGCGTTTGTCAAATACTATCACAGACGTAATAGGAATACTAAATGTAATAATAATAATATTAAAACCATGCTAACCGCGGAGTCCTAACTCATTTCGAGAATTGGTTTTTCCACTGTACCGTAGGACAGGGGGCATTTGTTAAGGCGTAAATATCATCCGTTTAGAATAGCTAAATAGAGTATCGTTATCGAGACTTCACTTACAATACATACAGGATGTTTTCTGGCTACGGTGTGTGCCGGCTGGCTTCGACCACTGGTTAGCATTGCGTTGCGCACCGCTGTTTGTAGTAAGACAATATATAAACTCGACACGTCTTCGTTGATACTTTCCGATATTGGATTTTTATGGCAGACCTGGTCCAACCGCCGTATAAAGTGAGATTATACTGTAACTTCTACTAAACGTATCTTTATTATAAACTGTTGAGACCTGATATTATTTCGGCAACGCGTAAGTAAATCGTAGTTAAAAAAAAAAAGTTCTACCGAAAAAAAGATGATGGAAATGGCTTTCTGAGCGACCTGTATAATAAAGAGATAAAGGCATCCAATGTCCATCGGGCGAAAGTCTCAAGCCCGACGATACTCTAGTAGTCAGATCTGATTTACATAGCGTATTCGCCTTTACCTTCTTCAGACACGTTTCTGTCGAACAATGTACAATATGAAAATGCGTATTTAAACAAAGAGCAAAATGAAGGTATAATGACCGAGACCCATCTAGGTCGGACGACTCCAATCCGTTATAAGCGAATAAGAATTTTTAATTAGAACCGCTGCTGTAGCAAATGGAAATTGTCCGATGCGAGTGAAGAATAAAACTATTTAGGATCACGTGAGCTCATCGGGGGAAGCTAAGCCAGCTGTGGCAAGGGGTAGCAATGAAAAAGAGGTCATATGGTGCCCGGGAGGGCGGCAAAGAAAATCAGTGGGTGATAAGGGCGATAGACGATTACGAAGCTGATAGTCCCACGTGGGACGAATCGGAATTGGAGAGCCAAACAATAACGAAGCTAACCATAGCGCGTGAGATCACTGGAAGCCACTCAACAACATTAAACAAACTGAACGACCGAAGTTGAATACCAGTGCAGTGAAAAAAAATGCTGAAGTATTTTAGAGTCGAGGCCTAATGAAGTATCACGGATGTTAACACGGATTATAAAAAACCCTAGATTAATCTCATAACAGGGAAAGAGAAGAGAATAGGGAAGTCAGGAAACAGGCAGATAAGCGTTAACTTTAGTGTAGATACGGTTTAGGATAGGTTAGTACTCTAGCAGAGAGGTTGTTTCCTCCTTATGTACGATACGTAAGTATGTGCAACTTGAGTGGATCGCTATCGAACATAGCGGTAATGTTAAGTACCATATAATCCTATATACAAAGTGGCTGAGACAAAGCGGAGTGGATCGAGGCCGGTGGCAAATCACAAGCTTGAATATTTCTGAGCCACTTCGACTATACGTACTAGACTGTAAGGAATAACGAGAATGTCATTGCTAGCAAATATCGAAAATGAAGTGTGGCCATAAAATGGGACAAGAAATAAAGCTAGAATTTAGCTTTAAACGCAGTATAGTTGTGAAGGTTAAGATCCCTAAATGATCGATTGCAAAATTACGTAATATCAAAGAGCAAAGACAGCATATAGATATATACGGTTTGCTAAAAGGAAGTTTGTTAAATAGGCGTTCACGAACGATAACGGGAAAAATCATAGTGCAGTCGAGCGCTCATGGGCGGTGCCTACGGTGCATCGGGGGCAAATGAAAAGAGCTAATGGAGACAGTCGAACATTACTTCAATACGATCTTAGCTACAGACAGGAACGGTCGCGCATCTACTGAATAACGCTACACGACAATTAATGACAAAGCCGAAGATAGGTTTATGCAAATTCATATACGTTCTCTATTTGCACGAGCTGAAACCTTTCAGTACTCCTTTCCAAACTGCAATCGCAGTTACCGCCGCAGGTATTGAGCACATCGCGATCGTTGGGCGAGGTGGACAAAATAATAGTCTAAAACAACTGCACTGACTGAGTTTGGCAAAGGATACTTTTAACAAACAGTTTCATTAAAATTCTGCACCAAAACACTGCATTCGGCCATATAGAATAAGCAGCCAAAGGGAATCGGATGATCTCATTCTACTTAGCAGTGGAGGAAGCTCCAATAAAAATAGCTAAGTTACTCCATGCTTCTTCGACTTTCACGACGTCGCACTATGACACTGACTAGCCTATTTTGCACTAGAAAGGTAGGCTCGCCTTAACATTAGATAGGACTAAACCCTTCTCGTTCGAAAAATAGTACCGCAGGTTTTAGACTAGTATGAGAATAATAATTATGGATTCGTCTGTGAACTATCACAGCTTCCACCCGACATGGAACAGCCATGCCACACTTAGCCAGGAGAGAACAAACTAATTCTCTGCAAAATTGCGAATTTTTGCTTAACTGTCGATTAAATGTGCTATTTTTAGTTTACGTTTGTTTCAAGGTACAGAACGGTATCCGAAACCGTGCAAGTTGAATGCCAGAGTAACCCTCCAAGAGCGGTCTCTCGAGACAGAACAGGGGACAGGCAAATACGGCAAAAAATGAACTCTTACCTGTAAATGTGAGATAGACGGTCGGACTAGATTCAACATGGGCTCTAAAAAGAGACAAGGCTTAAGCTAAATGCTGATTTAGGGGCTTCAGAGAATGCATACTAGAAAATTTCAACCGCGTAGATTAAACTGAGCCATTGACAGGGCTAGAAGGGTACAGACGTCTGACTGTTCTATACGCTACATGTGCGGGAGCGGATGTTCAGTACATTTCTGGAGTGCTAAAGCCATGCAACCGAACAGAACTCTGTTGAGTATAAGGCGAGCACAGAGAAACGCCTTTAGCTTCGTTTTCAAAGGCAGCTGGCTGGGTTACGGTACGCTTTGTAAATGAAATTACGCTTTCTGCAGAGCTATATTCCATAAAAATACTTTACTGTTCGCGTGTGACCTGTCAACGAATAGAGGCAAAGGCCTGTGACACGTTCCTCTAAAAGAATCTTGTCTAGAATACATAGACACATGCCAGCCATTTCACAGTTTGCCAAAATTCTAAAGATATTCGTTAACCGATGAACTCTAGTATGCGCCATAAGTGCGACACCAACAAGTCTAAACAGCGACTCATCAGACACGGCCGCATGCTTCCCAAGAAATGGGGTTCGTCGTCAACTTTCATATAAAGAAACTTGGGCTCGACCGTTGGTAGATTGAGCAATTTTTGGAAATCGAGAATGACGGCTTAAAAGGAAGTATCTCTATCTACTATATGTATTACGCTACAGCCGACCAGGAACTTTACCTTATTTGGGCATGAATCAGATGGGCAGCACAACTATGTGATAATTAAGCGCTAAGCTGATGGCTTCGTTCATCGAATTGTCAACAACCGCTACGGCAAATCTATTGGACTACTGGCTAGATTAAAGAGACGTTGCTAAGACTCCCTTACTCCCGAGTTCAGATAGCGTAGTAGAAATAAAAATCATAGCAATATTTATTGTTAAGCTAACTATGTTATGTAAGGCTTGCATTTAGATTAGTTGTCTGCCAATAGCGACAAATAACCTGGAAGGCATATCGCTTTTCGACAAACACTTCGATCAAGGATCTTACATGTGTTTTTTACTACACCGCTATCTTCATTTAATCGTGTTCATTTACTTATCTAACCCGCTGTGTTTGTGCAGGGTAAAGATCTATTTGATCTTGTGGGTCAGTCTATTGCCTCTCGCTTTGAGCGTTTATCATATATCGTTCTATTGAGTGCCTTAGTGCACCATCATTTCCCGCTGAACAACTGTTCTACAGATGACTCGTACGTTGCTAAATCTTCATGTAAGCATTCTATGTGCCCCCGTTGTTTATCGAGTGAAATAATAACACTAATGTTGTGTACTGTAATTTCAATAGCTGAAGCTATTTCCAGTTGAAGACAATTGGTACATCCACAATGAATACTTGATATCGGCCATCCCTATACATAAATTATTATTTCATAATAAACAATCAATCTATTTATAGATATATTACACAAAGAAATCCTTAGCGTCGAAACTGATAACAAAATTACTGATATATTAGCAACTTGGACGTTTTTACGCCGTAAATCAAAATCAAAGTGCGTTTGTCCTTACTTCATGCACGTAAGTAAATTATTCAATATCGTCCCGACCAAAACGTCCACTTTTCCACTGAACTCATCTTTAATTCGTATTCTGAAAGGCTGCGCGTTGTGAGCCTTCATGTGCTCTGTTCTTACATGGCGATCTCAGCGTGACTGAATTTAGTCAGTGCTGACTGATGATGTATATTGATTGTTCTGTTTGGTACTTGGCTTCACTTTTGAAATCGTTTGCAGTCGTGACTGCATGCGTTGTAATTACGCTCAGCCTATAGATTAGGCTGAATCTTCAGTCGAGCGCTACAGACGTCTGCAACGACCATCTTCGAGATGACGGTCCTTTTGCCTGCAATCGGTTCGCTCGCCATTGTGTTATATTCGTATAAAACAGTAAATATAGTCAACACAAGCTGTTTACGGCTTTTCGTTTCCATAAACGTATGCTTACTCGAACACGCTCGCGTATGGAATAAAATTGTTAGCAGTGTAGTCGTATTCTTTATCGATCTTCAATCTTGGGGCTCTCTCCATAGGCGCAGAATAGATGCAGGTACATACCATATTTATCGTCAAAATACATCCGTTCAAATTTCGAACGGTTTTGTAACAATAGCAAATATACGATTTCAGCTCATGATGAGCGGGTTTACAATAAAAACTAAACTAAACTAATAATTTTACTTTACTTCAACTATGACACGGCTACTTTTAGCTACTTTAGTGGAACTGATTCTCATTAACTTACTTATCTTCAACTGACCTTAGTTACCGCTGTTTCATATCTAAGTTGTCATAATAAGTATGCGCTATTACCTAAGAGATATATATAGCCTTCTGCGTAGATGTCACAACCTGCTGAGTCTGCGCCAACGCAAATTACGTACCACATTACTTCATAGAGAGCAACTTCGTATTCTTTTTTTTTTTCTCTGTTCTCGCGGATTGTGAAGCGTTCATTTGTCTGGAGCGCGCACGTCGAGGGGATGCAAGTTTGACACCAGATGCCATTACGTATCGATTCTAATGCGTACATTGCATGTAGCGGATAAATAATACAGGGTAGTATATTAAATTTAAGGAAAACACTTCTTTAGTCTTACACAATCGTGTTATGATAAGGAGTTTTCTGATCGTAAAACTCATTTGAACCACGCGGAGTCCCATGATTCACGTGCCAGTAACACCCATACATATTCGAAAACACTTTTCAAAGACATAATCAAAACACAAATGCGAGCAATGTTTGTATTCAACGAGCTCCTCTAAAAGGTGATTTACTGCAACTTAATGGACACCGTTGCAGCGTCTATCAGACCGCATTTTACAAAGTGAGGGTCCGCAGCTAAATTTTCACCGTAAGACCGTAAGAGTATCCGTCATGACAGATTCGTCAGTCATGACAGAAATTGCAGGGAATTTATCCTCTAGCTGAAAACGAAAAGTTCTATGGCAGATTTTCAAACATAGGTCCTTTAAGCCATTTCGACCCATATCACGCTAGACGCGATCCATATACTGTTCTAAGTCCCTTAGGTATTTTTATAATTTATATGACCAGCAAATAGAGACCGCAAGCAGTAAGTTTAGCGCACGCTATTTCTCTATGGGGAAGCTATTTAAATACCCAATTTTTGGATGAGCGTTCATATATTGTTTTGTATTTTTCTATAGTATTTTCGAGGAACTTATGCACGATAAAAATATAACAAAGTAGGCAAAACAGATGGACAGAAACACTTTCTGAAGCTGATGTGTACGTGATCTTTTTCGTCTAAATTCAACAAACGTCCGTTTTTAGCAAACACTTTGTTGGCAACCGTATGAAATTCAACATGGAGTGCCAAGATACAAGGCAGGTCATGGCGTCCTGACAACACGAGCAACAAAAACAAAGATATTGAAAAAAACGACGTAGTGTGAATTTTTGTTTGGCAAGACATGGCTGAGTCACCTTACGAAGTAAACAACACGTAGAAAAGCTCCATCAAATATTAGTTTTAGGTTTATGTGAGGAATTCATATTTCGTGTCACGGCCCAGCTCGTGAATTGGCTTGCTGTTAGGTTGATTTTTCTGATTTGATTCGCCAAGGCGCCGTTCTGTCACAATTTAGGGTTTCGATAACGACTAAAAAAATGGCAGTTGCTGTGTCGAGTTCTACACCATACCTCTTATTTGTTGATTGACGTACATTTTAAGACCGATACAATCAATTTATTTAATTGTTTCAAGTCTGTGGCAATAAAGGCGGCAAACTTCACGAATTGAGGGAGCTGCTATTTCTTTAATTAGAGTAAGCAATAATGTGGTATCCAGGGCACAACAGTGGGACAAGAGGGTTTACGTGCCGGGTTGGCTATAATGTGATGAAACCTGAGTCCTTATTTATTAGAAGAATTTCTTTTGCTATTTGGAAAGATACCTTACCTAACTACGTCCTTTAGTGGAATTTCTCAGGCTCACTTTGAACATCGACTGGCGTGGTGTCGTCAGATACTTCAATTACATTAAACTTTAACGTCCATAAGGAAGGGAAAATCTAAAGATATCTATGACGTTGACTAATCATCTGTACGAGTTCATGGTGTTTAATTAACTTACAAATAAACCTGTAAAAGTATTCTGACCCTGAAGTTAGATCGAGTCTGCAAAAAGAAAGTGTGTATCTTCAAAGCAGATGACCGCTAATGGGTGACGACTGTTGATAATGGCATTGGAAAAATTATTGCTAAAGAAGCATTGGTTTGCAGGAAACGATGCACAGATGTCTATTCTAGTAGAGCTCTGCCGGGATTTCTGCGTAATGGAACGTAACAATTCCGCACCTTTTTCTGATCAGACTTATTCCAGTAGTCGTAGTTATCGCTGGTCTTGAACGGTCCAACTGCTGGGTGAGAAAATCATTGCAAGGTATTCCAAGGTGGTCTAGATCTACTTAGGCTACTTCTAGCTTACACCCTTCTGGCATTTTATTTTAGAAATTTCTAATAAAGCTAAATATCCTATTGAATTGGATGTTGAAAAGGGAAGGTCACGTAGGTTACGCAATTTTTACAAGAAATGAAGTCTACTACTAAGAACTGAAGAATTCTACAGATATTAGCCACACAAGGTTCAAATTCTTTCAAACTAAATAAAGGTCTATTTAAGTTGAACGCCAGTGATTCCTCCGCGTGTTATTGTCTCAGTGAGTTTGCTTGAAAAACATCAATTTTTTTCGCATTAAAGGTTACATAAATCCAAGAACAGGCGACCACCTTATCTCGCTACAAAGCTAGTTATCTTAGACATCGATGGACCTTAAGATTTTACCTTTTTTGATTACAGGCGACCAGACACAGCACACTCGGCTGTAAAAGTTCAATACCTAAATGTTCGTTTAATTTTTTATTTTCGCTTATTTAATTCGGTCATTATATTTGAATAATTAACGGCTGTATTGTATAGCAAATACTAGGTCTCAAGTGTTACGTCCGGTACCGCCGTTAGGCATTCCATCAGATTCCACAAGGCTGCCTTCTGCCATCCTTGATCATTCTAAGACATCGGAAGTTGAGCGAGCTACCACTTATTTTTTATTATTAATCTTACTGTTTGTTTAAATAGAGTAAACCTGCATTACTATTGGCCCATCTAGCTACGCTGAATTGTTAGTCGGTGATCTACATGTACCATACTTGCTCTATTCATCACCATGTTATTTGT